GGTGCGGTAGGTTTTTGTTTCACCATTTTAGTTTAGACTCCCCATTTTATTTTGAGTTGTGCATTGTTATTTGTGCTTGAGAAACATTCCACTTGAACTTTATATTTTAATGAACTTAGAAGTAATTATTGTCCTATATTTCTTTCCGATTTCACAGCTGCCTGGTACTAGCAGCAAGAACCTCCATCTGTGCCTGCCCCCAGGTCAAGATCTACCGTGGCTCAAGGGCCTTCACCAGAGCCATCACCAAGGACCAGAGGACCAGCATCACTACAGCGGCCTCCACCTCCATCTGTGCCTGCCACAAGATTAAGATACACCTCGGTACAAAGGCCTCCACCACAGCCATCACGATCAACCCAGCCAGCAAAGAAGTCTCTCCTAGCAGACATACCTCCCACACAGCCGCCAGCATCAACCTGGGCCAATCACACCTAGCTCCCTCCGACACAGCCACCAGCAGCCCATGCACCATCACCCCCACCTACACAGCAGCCAGACCCACTGTCCTGGAAGACAGACCATTACACTGCTCCCCCTGTCTTTACATTTATAATGAATAGTTGGTTGAGAAAGTTCTGATATTGTAAATATTGAGATTTTACAGTTTCTTATGTTAACATAAATAGTTTGTTGAATAAAAATGTTAAATGCTCAATTTCATGAACCTTGGTATGGAATGTGAATCAGTCCTGATGTAACTCTTCTGTGGTGAAAGTAGAGGGATGGAAATATTTTACTCTAAATTATAATTTACACATTTTCATTTTAGACATGAACAACACATTTATATAGGCCTATAGTGTAATAATTCATATATTTCACTACTTTGGTGAACCAAAGACTTTGGTGAAGCAAATCTCAAACACCAAAAAAAATGGATGACATGAGTACATCTGTGTTTCACAACAGTTTTGAAGTTTTCCAAAAATCGGAATTCTAAGCTTGGTATCTCATAAGGTGAGTGACTTTGCATTTCTAGCAAGACCAGAGACTACTGAACATTTTGACATGTAACACCATGCCATGTTATAAGAAGTACATTTAAAAGTTGATTTAAGGAGACATCTAAAAATTGAGAAAATATCCTTCACTTCACACTCCAGAGGGTTAAGGAAAAGGGTAAGGCGATTTTATTTTAAAAGACAATGAAGGCAGGTTATATTGATTGATATATTTATTATATTGAAAGGCAAATGAATACATAGTCCCATGAATCTGGAATAATGTACAATTCACAGCCTCACAATATTAGGAACTTTTCATCTACAGATTGCTTTGGTCTGGCTTTACTCTTCACTGATTGGTTACAGAAACTTTGAACTCATTGGCTATGGAAATCAGAAGGAGGGGCTCATTATCATATGAAAAACCGTGATTATATTTATTTGCATTGCAGTTGATATTGAGGTCCAAACGTAGTAGGAATAAATCAGGTCATATTACTGTTGTGAGACTCAGATTAGGTTGATGATTACATTTTTTAACTATAAAATTGTAAGAGAATACATTTATAAAGTAACCGTCTCAACCCTGTTTATATATATTCCACCAGATCTATCTTCCACTTGACATGGTGATGGGACCAAGAGGGGGTGTAGATATACAAAAAATCCAGTAGATGGCGGTATCTGACCAATGATATCCCTCAATGCTGAATGAAGAGCAAAATAGCAATGGCTCTATAACAGATTGTTTTAGTGACAGGAATAATTGCAACACATGCAAATATAAGGGCAAAATTATTTCACATAGCATAAAAAACATATTTTGAATGCGACGGGAAACAATTGCCTGAAATAGCAGACTTAAAAGGGCCCTATTGTGCTGATGTTCAGGATCATATCAGTATTTAGTGCCTACTGTGGCATGTCTCCATGCTTTAATGTTCAAAATGTTCTTTATTTTTCTCATACTGCCTCTTTTCACCCTCTGTCTGAAACCAGAGCCCAGTCTGCTCTGATTGGTTAGCTGGCCAGCTCTGTTGTAATTGGTCAACCACTTAGAAATGTCCCGCCCTTACGATACAAAAGTGTGCCCATTATATACAATTGACCATGAAAAAACCGGCAAATTCTCAAATTACAGCAACAGTTAAATTATAATGGTCTTCAGAGAGTTGGTGGGAACAGAAGCACATTTATAAATATATGAATAACATATGGGCTGTTTTCCGCAAATTGAAATCACGATATCTTCTTACAAAAATATATTATCCTACAAATGTCCCTAGTGTTCTTATGGCTTGAAAGATCGTCTTTAAATCAATATAGTATTATTATTATGTTTAAACATCTATAAAATAATAATAATAATATTATTAATAATATTTATTCATTTCTTGTTTATTAAGAAATGTTTACCTTCATGCATTTTATCGTTTATTCTCTTGTTTATGTTCTTTATTAATTATTAGTGATGTGTCGGTCGCGAACGAGCCGATTCTTTTGAACGGCTCTTTGAACGAGGGGAACCGAGTCGTACTTGGTGAGAGCCGTTCTTGTTATCGTTCAATTGTTAGTCCGCACTCACTGCCTGCCAAAATCCACTAGCCTTTTAAAAAGCTTGATTTTGTTCCCCAAAACGTATTCTGTGAAGACCCGCCCCTACTCTGACTGTCTTCTTCTTCTTCTTTCGTGTATCGTCGTCATATGTCCAGCTCAGTGTCACAAAGCCACGCTCTCGTCTCTGGTCCCACATGGAAGAGGCCAGCCTCTGAAGGAGGTCTGTACAGAGGACAGGTGGTGATTATGTGGTCTGCAGTCTGCTCAGGCTCGCCACACTCGCATACTGCGCTGTCTGCCAGGCCCCACTCCTTCATTGATGATTTGAAGCGACCAACCGGTGGTTCAGTAGGGTCCAGTGCCGGCGTGGTAGATGTTCTCCTTCGACTCCATCTCCCGGGTCTTGGATGTGATGGTGCAGACGTGTGAGCTCAGCCGACTCCCATTCCTGCTTCCAGGAAGTTGCTAACCATGCCCTTGTAGACAGGTCCTCAGGGATGGAACCAAGCATCTCTTGTGCTCTCCTGTTGTAGGGGTGACGGGACTTGAGTCTGCTTGGGGTCGCTGCCTTAGTTGTGGTTTCATGCAGGATATGCCAGTCATGTTCTTGGGCTTTCCTTGCAAGTGCAAGGGTAGCGGCCTCTCGTCGGA